CCGCAGCCCATGGCTCTGCGCAGCGGCCGCAGCTGGGGTGGAGGAGACGCCGCCGCGAGGCCCTCGGACGTGTTCGGTGCCCTCGTGCCAGGCTCGGGCTCGCTCTACGGGTGCTGCAAGTCACAGCTCCAGGTGCCTGTAAGTTACTTGTGTCTCTGTCGGGGTTTGGCCTGTTGTGAACCGCGGGTGTTCCCAGACGGTTGCGTATCCTGGTGAACGTAAATCCTGTTTGATTTATTGGCGGTAACTCTCCGTGATTCTATTGTTCACCGGGGAGGACAGTGCGTCTTCTGGTGCCGTCACAGGTGTGGGGCAAAATGGGATTTCACTGTGTTCTTTGCCCTTCTGTTGGCATAAACAGCTATAGACAAAGTGAGGAGCAAAGGACTAGGAAGGTGCTAAGAAGGAGAACCTTAAGTATTGCCACAGAAGCTTCTGTGGCACGTGACAGGTTAGAGTCTGAGTGTTCACATGAATCAGCCTGGTGAGCAGTGGGTTCTCAGTCTGACCAGCAGAAAATTCCAGGACAGTTAAATATATCAGATCTCTCTTGGAATTTATGCCTTTTGTGGCCATAAGCTTTCACTGAGGTAAAAGACTCAAATGACAATCCGTTCCCGTTCAAGACCAGAACTGTTACTTGCTCCATCCAGGACTTGCTTTGCCCAGCACTGGGGCATCTGTTGTGCTTACAAGAGTGTTTCACAGAGATGGGGAACCGAGATGTGCAGCAGAGACACACGTCTGTGTAGGCAGAAAGCCTTGCTGGGATACAGCCTGGCTTGGTGTGAGGCTTCCTGCAGCTCTCAGGCTGCTCTGCTGCACAGAGGAGTGTGGCATGTGTCTGTAACACTTAGAACACTGAGAAAATGCCATTGATTTTGTCACTTACTAAGAGCTAAGAAAGCAAATTGTGCTTAAACCAAACAGGCAAATGCTCCTTTTCAGTTAATCCAGGCACAAGACCTTTCCTCTAGAAAAGAATTGGCTTTGGGTTTGCTTCAGTAACCTGGATAGCCTGTGCTGTGGGAAGGAAGGGATGTCTGGGGAGGTGGGGGATGTCTCGTCCCTTAGGGACTGGTGCAGACTTTTTAGGCTGACGTGGCCTGAAGTGTTTGTGTTGGAAGTATGTGGCTGGTTTCCTTCTCCTGGGCTGATTATAACCACACAGGTGATGAAATGACAAATGGATGTGTTTCATGCCAAGTCAGTGGTTTTATTATATGTTAAATGCAGAGTGAAGAAAATGCAGAGTTACCTCAGACCTACAGTTCCCCCCTGTCAGCATCAGAGTACTGTGCAGCCCTGGACCCTTCCCTTCTGTACCCGCCCTGGTCCACCTGTGCAGATGAGACCAAGCAGCCTGCAGGTCCTCAGAGTAGCCTCAAGCCCAGGTAGCCATCCTTGGCAGGGAGAGTGTGTGTGTTGGTGAAGCAGATCAGGAAATGCTTTGAGTGAATCAGTTGTTTTAATGAGTACACCTTTGGTTTCAGGATTCAGTCTGAAAGGAGTGATTATGGCAGTGAGGCAGATTTGTATGGACTCGTGTCCAACATCTTGGAGGAACAAGAGAAACCACAGCCGTGCTGTGCTGAGGGGTGAGTGTGTGGTAGACACTGCCCTGGCTGTCCCTGGGCATCTCCTGCTCTGCGCTTTCCCTTCCTTCCCCCTGAGCTTCCAGCATTTCACTTGGGATACTCAGAAGCTTTTTCCTAGGCACTCAAATTGCATGGCAGCTTCTGGCTCTCTGCTATTTGCAGAGCTTGTTAGTTGGCATTTTGAAAGCAAAGCCTTAACAAGTATTGAGGACATTCTGCATTCAAATCAACCTCCTTGGGTGTATATGCCCTGGCCTGTTCCAAGGGATGCAGCCTCTGGCTCTACCTGCAGGAAGCAGTGTAGGCCAGCGTAAGGCAGGAGCGAGGTGACTCCACTCTCTGGAGTGCCTGGACTAGGCTTGGGAAGGCTGAGGGCAGTTTGGTTACCTGAACTGGGTGTGGGGCCAGGAGTGTTTTGGTGGAGATGGGCAGCACATCTCCTGACAGGACTGACTGGCTGTGGCCTGGGGTGTGTGCAGCTCCTGAGCTGTGGGTGGGTTAGACAGGGAAGAGACTGTTCTCAGCTGGGTGAGGGTCACTGAAGATGACAGTTGTGGATAGAAGTTGGAGTCACAGAATATTCAGAGTTGGAAGGGACCCATGAGCATCATCAAGTCCAACTGTTGCTCACAAATAGCTCAGTAATCAGTTATTAGTTAAACTCAGTCAGACATCTTAGAATCATTTTAGAGGAATCAAAGAACTGTCAAGGTTGGAGGAGACCTTTCAGATCATCCAGTCCAACCCTTAGCCTGTCACTGCTGTAACGCTAAACCCTAACCCATATCCTCCAGCACCAGATCCAGACATCTCTTAGACACCTCCAGGGATAGTGACTCCACCACCTCCCTGGGCAATATCCCTGTGCCTGAACACACTAATAGTGTCACTTTATGGCTGTTCCCTCTAGTCCTCTCCCTGCAGGGAAATGATTGGGGAAGAATTGGGTTCTTAAACCCTGTGTTTGGGAGCGCAGAGCAGCACCACAGATCAGACTCTCACAGTGTGTTTCTTGCTTTCCAAGGAGTTGCCCTCCCAGCCTGAAGTCAGTGTGGCCAGTGAATGCCACCAGAATCGTGGACCACCATGACCTGCTGCCAGAGCCGAGGCTGCCCGGGGCTGGGGCTGTCCCAGCACAGGGTTTCTACAGCACTGACTCTGTCCCTGCTGCTGACAGGCAGTTCCTGCCCAGTGCCACCCTGGGGGCGACGCAGAGAGCCGAGGACTGTTTCCGCGGGCTCCCGGGGGTGAAGCTGGACGAGCAGAGCCTGTACCCTGCCAGGAGTGACCGTGCCACCTGCTGCCCCGCGCCGGGGAGCGAGGGCTCGAGGGCAGGCCCTGTGTGCCAGAGCTACCCGTTCCTGAAAAACACCTCTGCCCCCCGGGCTGGGTACTCGGACACACTCAGAGACTCGGGAGCTGATGCTTATCCCTATGGAAGGGAGAAGGTGTGTCCCAAGGGACCAGGTGCACAGGTGCCCCCAAAGAGGGCAGAAACATTTCTGCCACAGTGTCACAGATACAGTGACTACACAGATTACAGCAGGTACTCTGAATATCCTCATGCTGGTGCAGCAAAACCCAACAAGAGCAGCAGCTACAGCCCGCAGGAAAACTGGAGGCTGGTGAATGGAGCCCCCGAGGCAGCACCTCTGGACATGGAGCCTTACGCTAAATTATTTCAGGTGAAATCAGGAGCTCAGAAGAAATTTGAAGATTCACTTTCAGATCAGCATGACTTTGCATTTCCCAAGGCTGTAGGACTTGTGTCAGAGAAGCAGTTTGCAAATGACCCTTCCTTCTGCACTGATTTTGGGCCAAAATTTGAGTATGGACTAAAGTCTTTTGCAGCTTGTCCAGGAAATGGTGACTCTGCAAATGGTGTGGAAAAGCAGCAGCTTTCCAAGGCTGATCTTCAGAGTCCTGAGTCCTACCAGTCCCTCCCACTGCTGCCCAGCACAGCGGTGCCCTCAGCAGCCTCCAGCTCGAGGCCAGCCTGGGTGAACATCCCGCCCAAGCCCACTGCTGCTTCCAGCCTCTTCCAGAGCCCCAGTCCTCTGGTGAAGCTGAGCAATCAGTCATCTGCTTTCCCAAAAGGTTCCAGTCACTCTAATGATGTTTTTCAGTCGCCATCTTCAAATCTGCCTTTCAGCAGCAATTCACTTCACAAGTACTGCCAAGACAATCCCTTTCCATCCAGCCTTGACTTGGGCTACAGCAGTGCAGAACGAGCTTGGGCTGCTGCCTGCATGGAGGCACTGGTGAGGGGTGGAGGGGAGAACCTCATCGAGTGCCTAAGTGAGAAGTTGAAGCAGCCAAATGGCTTCTGTGACAGTTACGTGGCTCAGCAGTTCGGGCTCCCTGGCGGTGTGAACAAGCAGTGCTTCCAGCCTAAGCCCCAGAGCGACCACTGCGACCCAGAGGGGCAAAGCCAGGGTGTGCTGCAGGACCTGTACCAGCAGCTGCTGGAGTCCCAGGGGCAGCTCCACCTCGGGGTGAGGAGTGAGGACAGCAGTGCCACCAGGGCTCCAGGCCTTCCCCGTGGCCTGGGGGGTGACCCCAGGTGGAAGCAGCAGCTGAGCTCCAGAGCCTTCCCCACCAGATCCACTCCCCTGCTGAGCTACCCCCTGGTGAAGGAGCTTCCCGCCTGGTCCTCCCTGGATGATCTCAAGCACCTCTACCCTGGTTTGGCAGAGAAGATGTGTAGTGGCAGTGCCTTCCCTGGGTTTGTGCCTGCGCTGGGCGCTCAGAAGCAGGGGAAGGTGCGCAGCGTGCCTGCCAGCGAGCTGCACGCCAGGCTGGAGGAGTGCTATGAGCAGTGGAGAGCTCTGGAGAAGGAAAGGAAGAAGGTAAGAGACTAAACTTTGTGTCACAGATTGGATCTCCCCCTGCTCAGTGCAGCACAGCTCCTGGAGCTGAAATGCTGTGACCAGCACAGACAGGCTGACCGGGGACAGGACTGGGCAGTGCCTGCTGCACCCAGTAAAGCCCGTGGACAGGGACATCTCCCACCAGCCCAGGGTGCTCAGAGTAAATATGATCTCAGCTCTTTCTGTAGTTTGATTAATCTGTACAAAATTCAGGTTAGCTGCTGACCAAAGCAGTGTTATTTTGAGGGGGTGTGTGAGATGCACAGCTGTTTGCTCTGCGCTTTGTGCCCTGTAAGCCTGACTTGCCCTCGGTATGTGAGCAGGCAGAGCAGTACGGGCTGTGGTCGGTGGCAGAACACTGCTGGAACACAGTGGTGTTGGCATGGGAGGGCTTGAGTTGGGCAGAGCAGTTGCTCACTTAGAGCAGGTGATTGTCTCATCAAAGGGTTAATCCCAAATGCCTGGATCCTCACTATCTGCTTTAAAAGAGTCCCAGACCCTGAGGGGAAGTGGTGGACTCTGTGCTCTGTTCTCTGGTTGCTGTGCTGAAGTGCACTCTGAGGGAGTTATTCTTTTGTTTCCCTGCAGACTGAATCAGTTCTTGCTAAGAATTTCCAAGGGAAAAAGGTTTCCAGTGCTAACAACATTCCAGTTCCAAGGCTGACATCAAACCCATCAAGAGTTGATCGTTTAATTGTGGATCAGCTGCGGGAACAAGCCAGAGTGAGTTGTAGGCCTAAAAAAATCTATTGAACTTACCCCACAGAACTGAACGTACAGCGTGAGATGGGAAAGATGATCAGAACAGCTTCTCCCAAAATAGCTTTGTTCTTCAGTGCTGCACAGGGGGAATAACATTCCAGCAGTCCCTGCTAGAGTTTTGCAGCTCCAGCCTCAGGTGCTGTTGGCAGGGAGCCCCGTGGGGCTGAGCCCACAGGCCAGGGGGACCTGGTGCAGTGGTGGAGCTCCAGCTGAGCTGCATCCTGAGCAGGGAGGTGTTGGCTGTGGGTTTGCAGGCATTGTCAGAGGAGGTATTTGGGTGAGAGGAATGAGACAGCCAGGACACAGATTTTCAATGGACTAAACAAACTTGAATCGTTCGAATGTTTGGGCTCAGCTCCTTCAGTGCTGAGTGTCCATCCCAGAAGTGATGCCACGTGTGGTTCCACAGCAGCTGCCCCAGTGCAGCTGTGACTGCTGCTGGCCCAGGCTGGGTGGGAGCTGGCACTGCCTTCCATCCACACACTGCAGCAGTGCTGAGGGGAGGGAGAACCCCAGTGCTCTGGACTCAGGGGAATTCAGTTGTCATGGAACCTGTTCCAGGGATGTCTGAGCTGCACAGATCTGTTCTAACTGGTAAGTTTGGGGTCCTTGTGTTGGGCTATCGTGGCTCTGTTGTTTGCTGTGCACACCCAGGTAAGATTTTGGAGATGAGCAAATCACAGGTAAGGATTTAAAACCACTTCAGCTCTAACTGTATGAACTGTGCTCAGAAGAAAACAATGATTAGCATTAATATGCTCTTCCTAATCAGTCAATTTTCCTGTGATTGCAGCTGAGTACAGAATAACTCGTGTAACGTGTGAACTGTTCGCCAGGTCGTGACTCTGCTGGGGAAGGTGGAGCGTCTGCACAGCTCCCCCCGTCACCACAAGGTCTTCTCGGCCCTGGATAAGCACCTGGAGGTGATTCATGCGGTGCAGGCACAGAGGAAGGAGGAGATCGTCTGTGCCTCCAGCCAGCAGCGCCACGGACCCCCCAGGTGCCAGGATGAGAGAGGTAACCGTGTGCTGTGGGGCTGTGGCAGCATCCAGGGTCTGCTGCCCACAGCTGGAGGAGCACTGGGTGTGGGTGTGAGGGGACCCTGTGTCTGGGCTGAGAGACAGAGCCCTTTGGAGTGCCACTGCTCATTAACAGACCATTAGTGGGTTTTGGTAACACTCGGGGCCTGGAGATGATACTAAGCTATTGCCTCTTTCTTCTCCCTCATACTGCTGTTCCCATCACCTGCCAGCCCTGTCTCTATCCCTGTGTAGCACTTCCATGCTGAATCTGCCCAAAGAGGCTGAGGTGGCCTTGGTTTGTGAATGGATTTCCTCTTCAAGCACATTCTGCCATAGACTGACATGAGTGCAAACCATCTTGTGGATGGATACACAAAATACATTGCTCAGAACGTTTCCATTCCTAGTGGCATCCAAAATGAGCAGAATATTCAGCTTAATCTTTCACCAGTGCACAGGCAGCAGGGCAGGTCCCCTGGTCTCTAGGTGGGAGTTGGGACAAATCCCTGCCCTGCCCTGCCCTGCTGCCTGGCATCTGACACTCCCGAGTCCTCCCATCTCTTCTGCCTTGCTTTGCACTCCTGAGTTACAGGGATCACTTGACCTCTTTGGGCTGTCCCATCATGCATTTCTATAATTCTCACTTTTCCTTCCAAAGATACACTAGAGCAGTTTTTCTTTTCACCTGTCACTTCATTGTTCCTCTTTTCCTTGGCTGAAGATTCTGGGACTTGTTAAGCTGAAGGGCTCTTGGGTGCTGAAGCCCCTGACAGTAATTGGCTCTGCCAGAGCAGAGAACTCCCTGGTCCCAGTAATCTGGAGGCAGTCGCTGTCAGACCTGGAGATCAGCTCCCTGGTCCAGCTGTGTGGAGAAGGGCAGAGAAAGAAGAGAGCTCTGCACAGTGGCATCTGGTTGCTTGCCAGGAAGAGCAGTGCTTCCTTCATCTGCCTCCTGCTCTCCCCCCGGCTGTCCTTGAGGTGTGAGCCTGGGCTGGCAACTGGGCAGGACTTCTTGAACCGAAAAGTATTGAATGTATTTGCTGTGTGTTTGGGACAGCCCTGGGGAAAGTGCCTGAGGCTGCACAGCTCCTCTTCAGCAGAGCTTTCTCGTTCCTAGCTGGGGTTGGTTTGGGAGCAGGTCCTCCCCAGCCCTGTTGGCACAGCACCTCTCTGGTCCATCTGATCTGCTGTGAAGCATCTCAGAGAGCCACGGGGTGGTTCGGGT